ACAATACACCTGAGTTCGGTTAGTTTCAGAAAAAAAATTCTTTCAAAAATATTATTTAAAAAATTTTGAAACTAGCTGAGTCTCTCGTTTTGTGCGCATGTGTAGACGTGGCAACGTCAACAATCCGATGACGGATGAAAAGCGGCACAAGAAAAAAAATTTCCAGAAATCATGCCTAAATCATATTTTTTAAAATAAATAATTATATATATATATATATATATATATATACATATATATATATATATATATATATATTACAATGAATCATTCGTACAAAAGGTAGATTAGTAAAGTCAATGATATAAAACGGCGAAATCTCTTCGCAAACCAAAATTGCATTAAATTATTTTGAAAGTACTAGCAGATTAAAAAAGTCCTTATACAGCTTGTAGCTATTAAAAACAAACATCATAACATTCATCGAATGGTTAAAACTTTGTTAGCAAAGGAATTTCGCCATTTTATATCATTAACTCTACTAATTTACTTTTTGTATGAATGATTCATTGTAATATAAATTCAACTGCATCATATATTTGATTTAAAAGAACTGATCCGACGTGCAAATTTTCAGGATAACAACTGAGACATTAATCTATATATTGAACAATTTAGTTCATGCCACATTGACTGATGAACTCCTATAACAACAAAAAATTCTCAAATTACCATATTAGTAAAAAACGCACTCTTATATTTTAAAAAAAAATCAACCTTAGGCTTGCGACTGCATGCTCCAAAAGTTTTTATCCGTTAACAATAACACATTTCTAAAAAAAAAACATATTTCGCTTCGCATTTAATTTTTCGTCTCCAATACTATCTGGATTTACTAAAAACAAAATAATTTCTATGCCTGAGGATAACACTATGTACAGTTGAAAGAACTTGCAGATTAAAAAAAAGACCTTATACAGCTTGTAGTTATTAAAAACAAGGATCATAACATTCACTGAGTGATTTGTAGATTAATGCATCTTTAAAATTTTGCTTTGCGAAGAGATTTCGCCATTTTATATCATTAACTTTATTACTCTACTTTGCTCAATAGTGCTCAATATTAAAAATATGAAAATATTAAAAACAGAGCGTTAATGATATTATAGGAACAGATTCCTTAACTATTGTAACAATTTTATCACGACATTAATGCTTCTTTCCAGGCTTCTGGAAAAAAAACAACCCCTGAATACTGCAAATTTTACTAAGAATGTTCGATGTCAAGATAACATTGATATTTAAAAAGTTAAGTAATCCTTTCATATATATATATATATATATATATATATATATATATATATATATATATATATATATACAGGTAGTAATCCGTTGGTATAATCCAAGCGAGTTCTATTAATAGAATTTGAAATATGTTAAAACTGACTCACAAAAGAGTGCTCCATGTTTATTCTCAATAAACAGAGCAAATTTTCTTTACAATTGGAATTAAGATACCTTTAGTAAATGACCATTTTCATGTACGAATTTTAAACTGTTTCTGGTATCGGCTTGTACTATCTATATATCTATATCTATCTATATATTATGAAACAGAGCTGTAAATATATATCAGTTAATTTATATAAAAAAAAAACGTCTTAATATATATATATATATATATATATATATATATATATATATATATATTAATTAAACGTTTTGATGTTTAGACATTCTTTTTATAGATACAAATATTTAAGTAAATGCTCTGTTTTAGTATGAAACAACATTACCCGGTCTGAATGTCCGAGAAATTCTCACAGAAAATATTCGTCCTCCGACATGATATATATATATATATATATATTTGAGAAATCATTTTTAATATAATCCAAAAAAATCCCTATTAACACAACATAGAATTTGAAATATGTTAAAACTGACTCACAAAAGAGCGCTCTAAGTTTATTCACAATAAGCAGAGCAAATTTTCTTTACAATTGGAATTACGATACCTTTAGTAAATGACCATTTTCATCTACGAATTTTAATTTTAAAATTTACAGGATTTTTCAAACAGTTTCTGGTATCAATCACTCCCTCTAGGCTCTCCTACCTCCATAATATGGTTCCAGTAACGATGCCGCCTTCTTCTTCTTCTTATTATTATTATTTTCTTTGATTTCTGGCGTTTACACATTTCTTTCCGGGTCTCGCCCAGGGACCTAAGGTTAGAAATGGCCTCATGACACTTTCCACTGACAAAAAAAAAAAAATTACATAGATAAAGTCCTTCGTAAAGTGTGGGCTGTACTTGTCAGAACAATTTTTTGTATCTCCTTGAGGCATGGACTTCCAGGAATCCCTTCAGTTAGTCTACTGCAACCTTTTCCAACCAGTCCTAGGGTTCCAACTGCAACAGGGATTGTTGATGTTCCCATATGCCACATTTTCGAGATTTCTATTTCAAGGTCCTTGTATTTTGACAACTTTTTGAATATCTTCAAAGATACATTGCAGTCAGCAGGGACTGCCATATCAATAAGGAGGCACC